CAATGTACTGTGGCAGTTTTCTCTTGGATGAATCTTTCTGGAAAAGTAGAGCAGAGCATTTGAGGGAACTCTGCAGCTGGTATGAGGGAAATTATTTCTGTGGTATTTGTGCAGCTGTGCCTACACGTGCTGTTAAAAGTTGTGGGTTTTAAGTTATCTTTCATATGGACCTGACAGCAAAAATGTGATGCTGATGATTTTAGTTGTTCACTGTCCACTAATGAGCAGAGTGGAAATAAAGTGTCTGGGCTGAATCTGTCAGGATCTGCTGTCACCAGTGCTCAGAGTCATTGCTGCCTCTCTGGGCTGCAGTGGAGCTGCTGGGATGCATTACTGCAAATTTCTGAGCAGCTCATGGACTATTCAGGTGCTGCTCAGGGCTCGGGAGATTCCAGCTCTAGTTTTATCTAAATGCTGGCAACCTGCCATGGGTTTGTGTGAGCTTGACTGCAGAAGGTCAGAGGAGGACCCTGAAAGCCATTCAGCAGTTTCTTGCTTAGAGCTGCGCGGGGGAGATAATGTCGCCTGAGATGCACTCTTGAGCAAGGGGCTGGATCATTTCATGCATTTCTTTTGAAGCTCTGTGTGCGTGGAGGAGCTGCACAGCTTCTGGGCTGTGCCACTGGGAGTACTGAATGCTCACAGGAGCTAGGAACTAACCAGGAACCAGCAGCTCCTCATGCTGGGCGAAGACTGACACAAGGAAAGGCATTTTTGCCCATATGGATGCAAGGGCTGCACCAGGCTGGTGGTGTCCCTGCCAGGACAAGGAGAAAGAAATATATCATCATATTCACATGTGCACTGCAGAGCTGGTCAGCTGCAGGGGAAAACCCTCCTGATCTCTCTCTGTCAGGCATGGAGTAGCCTCCTCCCTGACTTCTGGGACAGATGTGGTTTGGTACCCACAAAGCCACTGCTGGAGTGAGGTTACCTGAGGCCTTCCTGTCTGGTTTGGTAGCTAGAGAGTAGAACACTTGAGCTTCTGGCACAGTCTCTAGAACTTGCTTAGGCACAGCCTTTGTCCCCAGATTTCTCAGCCTCTAACCAGCCTGTGAAATGTCAGAAAGCTGGAGAGCACTCCTGTTTTTACAAATGGGGAACAGAAATTTTTATTTGCTTCTAATATCTCCCCTCATGAGGAGCACAAGACGGGCAGCAGCTTTTTGGCTCTTAAACCATCAGACCAGCCATAATCCTCATGTTTTATGTTTCTACATGGGCTCCTGGCCACCTGTGTAATGTCCATCTGTTGAAGCGGGCGGGATGCCTATCAACACTGTGATCCAGATCACTGGAATGAGGCATGGATTTCCAGGAGGTGATGATGTTCCTGAAGGACACTTTGCAGTAGAGTGACAAATGCTGCTTTCATGGCAGTGCCATTCACTTCTCGTTACTTTGAGGCATTTGGGGAGATTCATCTAGAAGAATTGTAAACATGTTGTGGCAATGATAGCAAATGAATATTCAGAGACAGTCTCTGGCCCTCTGAGACTGAGCAATTTTAATGTGCTCATCTCAGAGCTGCACAGTGCTTTTCTGTGAATGGTAAATTTGCTGGAAAATGCACATTTAGAATAACCACAACTATTTGCCCTCTGAAGTGAAATTTGTAGACTAGCTGTAAGTGGGAAAGGACATGGTGTAAGTGGCTTTGGAAGTGACAGCAAACCTGTCTCTGCCTTCCCCTCAGCCAAGGTGCAGGGACACCATCGCATCAAGATCCCTTTACTGTGAAAGGAAGTTTGAGCCTGCATCACCCACCTCCCAGCAGAAGTCCCAAGTTATGGGGCTGTCAACAATCTGAAAACCTGCTCCTGGTCTCATTCTGCCTTTTAAAAGCAATCAGGGTTATTAGAACATTTGGGTACTGGGGCTCTGAGCACCAAGGTGAATATTGAAAGTATTAAGCTAGGGATATTTTTGGTTTTTTCCCCTCAGTGGGAATAGATGGAAACGATGGAAATGGAATAAATTTGATAGGACTAGCCAGATCCTCTACCTGATAATCTCCATGTTGTCCTGCTACTCCTTGGGAAGAGAGGATGGCAAAGCTTATTTTGGGAACACTTAGTTAGTTATAGGTCTGATAGTAATGGAGTGAGGGGGCCAATGTGAGAAGGTACAGCCAGACAATGAATTTCTGCCAGGGCACCTTGGTCTTGGCTGGCCTTCTGTATTCAGCTGTGTCTTGGCTGTTTCTACAGAAAAGAATGCCAAATGCAGTAAGTTGGGAAATTATTGTTTTGTTTTGTACATTTGGGTTGAATTGATTTCTTAGTTGGAAGCCAATGGCTTTGTCTATATTAGCAAATAGCACCATGCAGTAGGAGCAGATCTACAGAGCAAAAAGGCAGTGAAGACCCAGGCAGATTTCAGGGGATTTGATTCAAACCAGCTTCATTCTAATCCCATGTGAAATAAATTTTGCAAGAAACTTGTAGCAAATCAGGAGACCAAATATTGCATGCTGGAAATGTTAACAAAACCTTTCAACTAATGAAGAATATTTCAAGTTTGTTTGCCAAAGCAAAGACTTCAAAAAACCTGGCATGTATTTATGAGACATTTCAATGCTGTTGAAGCTGTTAGGGATTTTTTGTTGCCAACTGTTTCAGCTGAAATTTCACTTGATGCTTCTTAAGGTCACCTGGCATTCTACTTAAACCTATGTATGTTGCTCTGTGTGTGATTCTTATTATTGTTTCAAAGAGGTCTATACATAAAATTGATAACCTTCATAACCATTTAAAAAAGTATTTGTAGAAAAGAAAAAAAATCCAGTGCTGCTAACATACTGTGATGGTTTCATAGTATGTTAAGGGGTTGGAATGGACCTTAGAGTTTATCTAGTCTTAACCCCCTGCCCTGGGCAGGAACAACTCCCACTAGACCAAGTTGCTCAAGGTTTTATCCAACCTGGCTTTGAACACTGCCAGGGTTGGGGCATCCATACTGTGGCTTAACTTTCTTGTTCTGATTCCTCTGCTGCGTGACTAAAAGATCAGTCAAGACACATTTGCTTTAGCTGCAGGAAACTGAGAAAGGAGGCAGCAACAAGGGCAAGATGGGCATTTTGGAGCTGAGAAAAAGATTAGGGATCACATGCTGGAGAGCAACCCAGCTGCAATGAAAGGAGTGGATGTGGATGTGACACTTAGTGCTCTGGTCTAACTGACAAGGTGGTGATCGGTCACAGGTTAGAATCTGATCTCAGAGGTCTTTTACAACCTAAATGGTTCTGTGATTCTGAGTGTGTGTGAGGCTTGTGCAGAAGTGGCTTTTAATGTAATAAACTCTGCCTGCATGCTGAAGGCTACAGATATTGTCAAGTGGTAAAGGTGGCAAGGGACTCCTGGTGCTCTGAAAACTGTGTGGACAAAGCAAGCAGAGTATTGAGAGCAAGTCATTGTGACTTTCTCATGCTAAGGTACCCTCCAATGAGGCAACACCCCAGGACACCAAGTGTTCCTGTTTCTTAGCAATTTTTTACTTTAGGTATTGTATTTTACCACAACTCTGGCTGACCTCCCTACCAGCTGCATCCGGAGATACATATTTGGGATATTTTAATTTTTCTGAAATGCAATTTATCTAGTGTAAGATGTCAGTGCAGGTCAAACATCAGTGCAGGTTTTGGTGTGTGTAAATAGCCTGGGATTTCCTGCCAGATGTCTCATTCAATCTTGTCATATTCAGAAGCATATGGCAAGGAAAGGTTATAGTCTTGATAGGATACTGGTTGGGGAGTACTATATAAGTCTAACATGGGGGATAAAATAGACAATAGCAAATAGGTATTGACAATTTAACTAGTTGTAATGTGCTGTAGTTTTCGTATCAGAGAAATAATCTGTACAGAAACGTTGCCCTCATAGTTGCCAACTTGTCTTTCCTATAACTTGCGTGTTACAAACACCAGCTGCTTTTAAGCCCACTCAGTGTGTAAACTGTGCCATCTTAAACACCAGCTCTGAATATTATTTGAACCTTGTACTCAATTTTTGCGGCTCCACTTATCCTAATTCACTGATCTCTGCGTTATTGTTTGTAACTAAGTGTGTTATTTGAGATTTCTCTCAATTCCAGAACAAGAATAGTTCAGGTAGCTGTTGTGATGGTGCAACCCACATACTCTACAGGCATAACAGAAGCAAATCTTACGAGGTTTATAAGTCCAAAGTTTCTATTTAAATGTATCTTGGTATTACTCGTTCAGCATATAATTCTTTTTTTAGTCTGCCTTTAAAAAACAAGAACAACGTAGACTTGAAAATTTCTTTTAAAGATTCCTATGCTTGAAAATCTCAGTTGGTTTTCAGACAAATGAAAAATGTCACTGACAAGGATCAGGAATATTGTCAGTGTTCATTCAGGTTTTTAAAAAGATTAAATCAGAAAGGTTTTGGAGTTAGCAGCGTACCAGGTAGTTTTCCACTGTTTATTTAGGTTTCTGTTCTCAAAAGAGAGGTAGTGCCAGACAATCAGAAGTTTGTCTGGACTTTCTTTGAGCTTGGGAAAGGTGTGCAGTTAGTTGTAAATATGGGTATGAAGAGCAGCTCTTAGGTGGATTGTGAAAAATAATCCACAGAACCATGCTTGAAAACTGAAGCACTCCCATGCTTCTCTCACAAACTGATTGCCTTAGACAAAAACTTCAAGCAAAACCCAGCTGGATCAGGACCAGATCCAGCCTTTGTCCTGGTGACAGTTGCATAGAGATTTGGATTAGATATTAGGAAAAGTTTTTCACTGTTAGGGTGTTCAGGCACTGGAATAGATTGCCCAGGGAAGTAGTGGATTCATCATCTCTGGAAGTGTTTAAGAGGTGTCTGGACCTGGCGCTAGAAGATATGGTTTAGGGGTTACTGTAGTGACAGGTTAATGGTTGGACTTGGTCTTGGAGGTCTCTTCCAGCCTTGAGGATTCTATGATTCAATAAAATGACATAGGGAAACCTGTGTGTGACTAACTCATTTTTCTCTGTGGTTTTACAGGTTCCAGAATCTGCTGTGGTCTCGAAAAGCCTTCGTGGACAGCGTGAAGGTGTATAACCACAGCTACATCTACATGCCAGCCTTTTCCATGAAGACAGGGACAGGACCCTCCCTCCGTGTCTACTACACCCTGGAGGACTTCGGTGCCAAGCAGACTGTCCTCTTTGCCAACCCCAATTTCCTGCGTGACATTGGCAAGTTCTGGAAGAGCAAAGGTATCCATGCCAAACGGCTTTCCACAGGACTTTTCCTAGTCAGTGCTGCCCTTGGTCTGTGTGAAGAAGTAACAATTTATGGCTTCTGGCCTTTCTCAGTGGACCTGCATGGGAGGTTTATTAGCCATCATTACTATGACAATGTCTTGCCCGATTCTGGATTCCACGCCATGCCGGAGGAATTTCTACAGCTTTGGTTTCTTCATAAAAGTGGTGTACTGAGAATGCAGCTAGAACCATGTGAGGACCCTTTAATCCATTCTTCTGCCTGAGGAGTCGGTTTGGGAGATCCAATAGTTTTTAATTTCCGTGCTCTCCACCAGAGAGTTCTGTTTCATGTTGATTATTTTTAAAGGGAAAATAATCGTGGATCTGCATGGACCAGAAAAATGCTACTTGAAGGCCAAATGGAATACGTCCTTAATGTTTAGTGCTTTATGGAACTGAGATGGGATGAAGCATATCTCTCCATCAAGTCCATTCAGCAGCAGTGTGAAAACAATATCAGAAGCAGAACAGCTGAACTTTCCGGGGACGTTTTTCAATGACCGATGTAAAAAGGGCATTAAGGCTCAGAGAGACAGAGGGCCACTCACAAGCTTTTGCTGACAGTGCCAAATATGACTGTCTGTTCAAAAATCCATTTCATTCCAGATCAGCACCCTGTATAACTTTCCTTTTTCCTTTTTTTTCCCCTGTGTTTGAGGCCGTGTGTGTGTAGGAGAGCATGTGTGTGTTGTTGACTTTCTTTGTTTCTTTTGCCTTTTTTGTCTTTTTTTTTCTTTTCTTTTTCTTTTTTTTCCCCCTCCAATGGAAGGAAAAGGAAATGCTTAAAAACCCCAAGAGCTGAGTACCATCAGCTCCTCTGAAGACTCTTGGGAGAGTGAAGGTGCTAAGAATCTGGTTAGAACAATGTCCTAGGAATGCCCTGCGACTAGGGATGGATAGACCTACCTATTGTAGGTTTTATCAGGATACTTTAGGTCAATGTGCTTACAGCTATGGTAGTGCTAGACTGTGGGCAAGAGCTGGTTAAGGCAAGTTAGTTTGAAAATAAAATATGTGTTATAAAATCAGTAGAGAAGTGCAGCCTGGTTTCAGATGACCTGCTGCAAGATTTCCATAGTGACTGTTGTAGTAGGGATGGTTCCTGACCTGTTTTGCTGTCCAGCCTTAGGGATTAGTTCTGTATTCATTTGGACTCCAGATGTTCATTGACTGTCAAGGGGATTTGAGGGGTTTGGTGGAATGCAGAATGAGGTTCTTCATTTGTTTATAGCAGGAAAATTGCAGAAATGAATGTAAGTGTCATTTAAAATGAGTCGAAGCTTCAAAAATCGTCTCTCTGTGTGTCACTAGCTCTTCTGCTTGGATTGTAATGTTAGCCTTAAAGACTTGTACTTTTCTCACAAAATTGTCTCTGGTTAAAGAGAGTCTGAAAAATAAAGCAGCCTTTGGGAGCACTGAAAAGCTGCATAGCCAGCAAGATAAAAAGGGAAGTGCTGCCCTTACGTAAGGCAGCTCTCTCCTCACAGTGGGTGAATTATGTCAGTGAGAGCAGTGCACACACTGCTCTGGCCAGCACAGCGCCTGGAGGACTGGTTTATTTTGGGTTATTACTTGGGCAGCAGATGGTCCTGTCTCCATGTAAATGAGAAATCTTTTTGTTTGTTTGCTTTGGTTTAGTGCTGGAGGACAAGAAGAGAATCCCAGCTCAGTCCACGGTGCAATTGTCACCATTAACTTTCAAAATGCAGATCAGTGTTCTCTTTCTTATCCTTCCATCATGAGTAGCTAAAAATCTAGTCAAGGTGTTGAAATAACAAAACTGTCGTCAGGTTTCTGCAACCACCTTACTGTGCTGTTTTAGCTCCAAAGTGCTAATATTTTGGGGGATGTGTCCTATCATATGTTGATGACGTGTCTCCTTGTAGACTACCAGCTGCAAGTTATACAGTTATAATTAAAAAGAAAAAAGAAAGCAAAATCCATGGCTCTTCTTTAAATATAAATAATTCAACTATCTGTGTAGGACACTGGGAAAAATACTCATGTTTTGCTTTTTAAACCTATGTTTCATAATAACATTTTCTTGCAGAATGTGGATATTCAAAGAATAAAGTGAGCACTGTTTCGTAGGATTACAGAGCAGTGCTAGACTGTAACATGGAGATTTGGATTAAAGAGTGTTCTAGAGATTGTTCTGATAAAATCTGAATGTACCTCTATAGCCCATGTTATCTTTGTCCATATTTTTGTTAAAAATACAATGAATACACTGATGGAACATCACTTGCTAATTCATTCCCTTTCGTTCTGTTTGCTTTATGTATGGTTTGGGTACTCAGTGAGGAAGGATTTGCAAGTAAAATATCTTCCTTACTGCTTGCTATGGGAGAATTTTACTGAGTTGCCTTTCTTGGAGAAGAGGTGCCTGTATGGTTTTCATTGTATGCATCAAGTTTTGCACTTGTTTTGTGCTTTATAGATGACATTATCTATGAGAACAACAGTTGAAATATGGTGTGCTGAAATGGCACTGTAGCAGGGTGACAGCACTTCCTCAGGGGTGGAAGGGAGCAAGGAGAGGAGTGGGGAATTGCCTCTTTGCTGGTAATTATTTGCTATTTTTACCAATACTTAGGAATTCAGTTTCATAATATGTTAAGGGGTTGGAATGGACCTTAGAGATCATATAGTCCCAACCCCCCTTGCCATGGGCAGGGACACTTCCCACCAGAGCAGGTTGCTCAAGGCTTTATCCAACCTGGCCTTGAACACTGCCAGGGTTGGGGCAGCCACAGCCTCCCTGGGCAACCTGTGCCAGTGTCTCACCACCCTCACCAGAAAATAATTCTTCCTAATGTCTAAATTGCCCTTTTTTGAATTTATACCCATTACACTCAGTTCTGTACCGCTCTGATGGCTCTCCAACCCTTTGATAATCCCTTTTTTCCACGTCTTGGGAAAATAATTGGATTAGAAGAACAAGGGGAAACCATGTGGGTTTTTTGTAGGAAAACTCTGCAGTATTTCATAATGTTTGGCTTGTTTGTGTTCGAGTGGTGCCCTGTATTGCCCACCCCTGTAAGACTGAGGCAATGTGTAGCCTGTGGTCTTTGTGAGTCCCTTCTGATGTTTGCAAGCAGACAGCTTCCAGGAAATTATGGAGGCAGGGGAGACCCAGGCTGTGTGTGATGTGTGACTGATGTTGGAGAAACAGATAATTCTGGCTCCGTTCACATTTGTGTATCGTTAATATAACTGCATCTTACAAAGGTAACCACATTTGATGGGGAAGTAAAGGCTTCAAGGGTAAATAGTTTTCTATTACTTCCAGAAAACTGTCAGTTGAGGAAAGAAGAGAAAGGACAATAAATGCCCCTTTTGAGAGAGCAAAATCTGTTTTAGCTGGCTGACTGTGGAGACACTGCCCAGGGATCAGCCTTTTGCCCAGCAAGTTAAAAGGAATGCAGGAAAATACAAGGAATACAAGTCTTTTGTGGCAAGACATGGTAATCAATGTTGTAGTAAATATGCTTCATCCATGCTGCTGGTCAGCATGAGGCTTGCCTTGTCTGAATCTAGGAGGAGATAAATCCATATGTAGGATCATTGATGTGAAATATGGCATTGCATACAAGAGCCTGAAGGTGTATCCACCTTCAGGAGGGAGGTCCTGCCATGCATAAGGCCATGTTTCTGCTTAGAGACAGGCACAAGCAAATTCAGGAGGGTAACCTGAACCATGAGGAATTAGCATCTTGCAGTCATGGCAAACTTTGGTGAGAGAAATTATATCCATCCAGCATTTACTTATCAATTGATTCCAGTCCATTGGCAGTGTCCTTAATCAAATCTCATTGCTCGTGTTGCTAGGTTTTCCTTGGTGTCAGCTGAAATCTTAATGTTTATTTTGTTAGTGAAATTTCCTACTGTAGCATCTCTCCAGTCCCTGAATTTCTCTGATAGTGCAGTTAGAGCTGCATAAATCTTTGCCCAGTTGAAAGCTACTGCAATTCAGCTTCAGTAAAAACTAGCTCAGACTGGCCAAATGATTTGTTAATATTCCAAGTTATTAATTTTGTCATAGAGCTGACAAGGGACAGAAGTGCTGGAATTGTTGCTCTGCCTGCATAGGAAGCATTGCCCTAAATTTGTAAGTAGAATAAATTATATACCTTTACAAGAGCTGTACATGGAAGATAGTGGGTAATCAAATCCCTCTAGATATAATCTTTTTTGGGGTGTATATGCTTTTGAGTAAATAAAGACCAATTATTGAACCTGCAACAAAACTATGTAAAACTTTTCCTTGTTGTTTAGAGGGAGCCTTTGGAGCTCCCTCTGAAACAGATGAGCAAAACAGAAACCAGCAAACTAAAATCACAGAGAAGGGGTGTGTGTGCTCATGAGAATGAAAATGTCTATAATTTTGGCACAGACCTTGCTACAGTGCTAATTCTTACTCATGAATGTTTCATTTTTGTATTTTTGCTGAAATGAATGTATCAAGTTTAGGGTGAACCAGCTACTAAAGTCAAAGGTCTAAGCTCTGTTACGGCTTAAGTTTTATAGAATATAGTTCTGATGACTGTTTTGTCAACTTAGCAACTTTCATCTTTTTATTAGTTTCCTCAAAATGGTGTCATAACATGCACTGCTGAGTTAGCACCTCTGTGAGAGCTGAAACTAAGCAAAGCATCTGCTTTTTTAAACTCAGTCTCTGCTCTATGGTAGATATGTAGAACACTTCCTCCATACATCTTCATAGAAACTAGCTTAAGACCTGCCTCTTCCTTGCCTGTAATTAATAAGGAGAGAGGAAACTTTTGATCTAGAAGTGGAGATAATGGAGGAGATGAATGCTGTCTCACCATTTGCTGCCTGCTCTGACTCTTCTTCAGCTTGATAGATTAGTAAGTATTGGAAAAAGTCCAGGTTATATGAAGGACAGGCAGTTCTTGAAGAGTTGCATGATGCTGGAAAAAAAGAAAAGAAGGATCAAATCAGTGGTGTCACAAATTGGAGTGCAGCAATTCTTTACAAAGACCCCTAGTGCTAAGCAACTGTAGGACATTTTCATCTGGCAGTGACTGTGAAAAATGGGCTCCCTGTGACCTGCAGATGGTTTTCTGCAGGATGGCAGCAAAGCAAAGTGCTATGAGGAGGAGAAAATGATTAATCAGAAAGGAAAATACAATGGAACAAAGAATGATGATGGAGAATCTGTCTTTCCCTTCTCTCCTGCCACTCTCCCCAAACACATATATTAAATGGACTAGCCAGTTATTATCCTTAGTCATCATGTCTTTAATGAAATTGTATGATGGAATTTCCATTAGCTCATACTTTCAAGTAAGCAAAATTCATCAGACCTGATCCAGAAATGCCTATTCCTCATCTCCATGGCTTTTTGAGGTATGTTCTGAGGGCTGTGACTGTTCTGATGCGCTGTGACCTCTGTAATGGGACCTACTCC